ACTGAAAACTCAGATCTCTAAATCTCTAAATTCTCGACTACTCAATTCTCCGAAATAATTTTGAGTTTGGTCCAACCTCGAGTAAATTGAAAAAATCTCAAGCATATCCAAACTCAGATCCAATTGAATCATAGCTAAAAACTAAGTTAATACCAATATCAACAATTTATTGAATTCTCGACCACTCAATTCTTCGAAATGATTTTGAGTTTTACTCCATCCTCGAGTACATCGAAAACTCAGATCTAGTTAAATGGTAGATAAAATTTAATGAATAACAATATCAACAATGAATTGAATTCTCGACTACTCCATTCTCCAAAATAATTTCAAGTTTTTGTCCAGCCTCGACTATATCAATAATTTACATCCATTAGACTCGTACTTAAAAACTGAATAAACAACAATATCAACAATGAATCAAAGGAGAAATAAGAATGCATATAACAATAGATCGAAAAAGAAACATAACCTTGTGCTTTGATGTCACTCACCAAATCATAGATGTAAAGTGTTGAATCTTTGAATTCGCGACTACTCACTTCTCCGAAGTAGTTTTGATTTTTTTCCAACCTCGAGTAAATTGAAAAAATCTAAAGTATATTGAACCTTTAGATCCAATTGAATCGAAGCGAAAAAAAAAATATTAATACCAATATCAACAATGCATTGAATTCTCAACTGCGCAATTCTTCGAAATAATTTTGAGTTTTTCTCCATCCTCGAGTATATCGAAATCTCAGATCTACTTGAATTGTAGCTAAAAATTGAATGAATAACACTATCAACTACTCAATTCTTCAAAATAATTTTGAATTTTGAAATTTTTGTCCAACCTTAAGTATATAAAAGAAACCTCGAGATCATCTAAAACTTATATCCATATTAATCGTAGCTCAAAATTGAATAAACAGAAATATCAACAATGTCTCAAAGGAGAAATAAGAACACATATAAGAATAGATTGTAAAAGAAAATATAACCTTGTGTTTCGATGCCACTCTTTAAATAATGTATCTGAAATCTCTTATTTCCCGATTACTCAATTCTGTAGAGAAAAGAAATATGTATGATATCACTTAGTTATGAATCATGAATGGAATTCCACAATCATATTACCAAAATGAGAAAATAATGTTGAGTTTTTACAAACCTCGAGTGTATCGAAAGAACTTAGAGTGTTAAAAAAAACTAAATCCTTGTAATTGCAACTAAAGCTAAATGAGTAATAACATCAAAAATATATTAAGAGAGAAAAAGAAAAAGAATATATATGAGAATAGAATAAGAAAGTAAGATCGCCTTGAATTCCGATTCGGCTCTCCAAATAATATATATAGAATGTGAATCTCTTGATTCTTGACTACCTAATTCTAGATTTGAGATATGTGCATGGTTTGCTTTATATATAGAAATAAAAAAGTATTTTATAAATTTATTATAGATTAAGACTATCATACGACTTAATTTTCTAAGGGATAATGAAAAGACAAAGAATTTTGAGATTTTTCCCGAACATAGGTTTTGTCATTGAACAAAACCTCAAGTACATAAAAAAAAAAAAAAAGTAGTTCACTCAAATGTAGTTAAAACCAAATCATAATAGCATCAACAATCTATCGAAAGAGAAAAGTTATGAAAATGATAGTGGATGGAAAACTAGACATCACCTTGATTTTAAATGCGATTCTCCAAATACTAGATGTAGAATTTCAAGTTTTCGAACTCTCATCTACTCAATTAACGATTTGAGAGAAATGTGCAAGTTCGCTTTATGTAGCGGGCATAAATAAGTATGACCACGGGCGGACTTACATAGGGATAAGGGGGCTACAGCCCCCTTGCCCCACCCACCCCTCTCCTATTCTATTGGGGTTCTTTTTATTAATTTTTTAAAAATATATATAATATGAAAATCTTTGAAATTAATAACAAAATAATAGAAATACAAATTTCAAGTGTTGAATTTTTTAATAAGTAATTATATTTTTTTATTTTTAAAAATTACAAAAATATATATTTCCAATATATATAGTCATTAATATACTTTTAGTTTGTTATTTTGTAATAAAATAAAAATAAATTTATTATTTTATAAATTAAAAACTAGTTTATATATATTAAAATAAAAAGTATTTAATTTTGGCTCCGCCTCTTGAGTATGAGTAACATATGACTAATTGATCAGACTAGAGTAAAAGAAAAATTATTTTGATAATTATATAGAAATTTCATTATTATCGGTATCATTTATTGAATTGATCTCGCCAAGAACATTAAACAAATCCAAAATGGCTAATTAAAATTAATGGATTAATAAGGGTTTGTTTACTTATCTTTTGGAACTTATTTTCCAACTCTTCAAGTACTCTTATTAAAAAGAATATTTATATCATATTCAATCTATATTTTTCATTCAAAATATTACATACAGTAACTATTTTCATCTCAAAATATGAAATTTAAAACATCACAACACAATTCAAAACACACATTAAAATAGTCCATTTTATCAATAATTAATTTGTTACGTTTAAAAAATATACCCTATGAAAAATAAATTTCATATTTGATATTACAAGAAAATAGAGATGATGAATTTGACATTTTTAACATAAAAATATGCATACTAAAACTAGCATAGTGTAAAAGTAGATATAGAAAAAAGTGCCTATTTTATTTCTTGCATTCTATACTTATTTATTATTAATTTGATCTCATGAATATTCATAGTATCACTTATGTAAATTAGTAATTCATAATTTTCATGACTAAGATTATAAACCATTACGACTTATTAAATTAGAATATAAACATACAAAATTATGAAAATTATCATAAGACATAAATACATAAATATATATTTCATGGGCTTACTCCATCAATACCATATATATTTATTAGTACTATAATATATATTACTAGCACCTACCTAAAATTTATGTATTTATGTGTGAAAAAAATTATTTATTTTAAATTTTATATCTTTTATAGAGAAAATTGCAAAAAATATTATATATTTATATTCAATTATCACGCTTGTCTTTTAATTATATATCATGCATGTGTCACAATTTGGTTGTTTCTGTACATTGATCGCGCATAAATTTCTATCACTCACAAATGCCACTCACTTGTACTTCATCGATCCCCTAACAAAATATATCTTTAGACATGTCACAATTTCGGTAAAAATATCTCATATATATATATATATATTTTTATATGATACAATATTGTGACACGTGTCATTCAATGATAGTAGTGCATAAATTTGGCAAGTTGTGAAACTCACGCGCAAGCCATAGTATTGAAATAGCGAAATTGTGGCACGTCCAATATATTGTTGGATCCTGAAATTCGGAGGTTTCAAGAACGTTCATTGATTTGTCTGTGTGAATTCCGAAAGTAGTCCAAAGAGCCCGTCCGTCGTCGGATTGGAGGCGGCTCCTACGATGGAGCCTGCACAGCTTCGATCGTCCACAAGGTTTCGAGCCTAAACGACCGATTTCAATGAATTTAAACTAACATCTACTTGAAAGCGGATAAAAGTATGTAATTCGAATTAAAATGCATTCAACGAAAATAAAACATGAAAGAAAAGTAAAAAAATTGACGAATTGTTCTCTTGTGCGTGTGTGTGTTGTGTTTCTTTTTCCTACTTGTAATCCTAAGCTAGAATAACCACTTCTCCCACTAAAGGGGCGGTTACAATTATTTCTCCACCACTCTCAACCACTTGGTAACCTCCCACTACTACCTACCTCCAACTTCCTGGTAACATCCCACTACTACCTCCAACTTCCAAATCACCTCCTTCCACTACCTCCTAACCACCTCGTAACCCCCTTCTATCAACTCCCTGGTAACCTCCTTCCATAAGCTCCTAACCACTACCTCCCAGCCACTTCCATTTCCTCTGGGTTCCATTTGCTCTGAACTTCTTCCATTGCCTCTGGACCAGATATATTGTTTACTCCGACTTGTTTCCATCGTACTCCTAGCCGGTCCACAGGGATGTATCCCAACAGCCTCGAGTTAAATGGAATCTTCGGTTTTCCTCTTGCTGGTTTGTTCCATGGAGCTTTTTGAATAAAGCATGAGAGTGCATAGGTCCTCCACTAATGTTAAGTACGAAATTATTAACCCAGGGCCAACGGAGGTAGTTATCGCATGATCTGTGGAAGCTGTTGCTTTCTATCTTGTGGAGGCAACCTTTCTTTGCTTTCGGCCCTGTGGAAGTACCACAATCCAATGGAAACTGTTTCCTTCGGTTTTGTGGAAGCAGCAGTCTTTGGCTCCGAGGCTTGAAGCTCCATTGCTGTTGAGCGGCTCCGTGGCCAATGAGCTCTGGCACCACTTTTGTATTTGAGCCTTCTTCTCGTTCAGGTGCTTTTTGACAATGCCCTCCTCAAAAGGGCTGGGCGATTGCTTTCATTGAGCCCATGTCCTTTTGCCTTGAGCCGTTCACTTGAATCAATTGTGGTCACTTCTGTCGACAAGGGATCCTCCTCGGCCTTCACTTCTTGGACTTCATCTCCATCCCAAAACATCAACATTTGATGGAGTGTCGAAGGCACACACTCGCATGCATGAATCCAATTCCGTCCCAATAAAGCCGAATAGAAAGGCCTACCATCAATCACCATGAAATTTGATGATATTTCCTCTGTCCCCCCCTGCACATTCAAAGTGATCATACCTGCCGGTTTGTAAGAATTTCCCACGAAATCGGTAAGCCGCACAAATGTAGAATTCAAATCATCACTAGTCTTTCCGAACTTCCGTAGGGTCTCAATTGGCAACACATTCACAGAAGCTCCACTGTCCACCAAAACTTGGTCAAGAGGATAGCCATTCATCGAGACCCGAATGTGCAAAGGCTTGACATGTTGGCTTTGGCCAGGCTCGAGCCTCTTATATTCTATCATTGTTGCCACATCATTCCATTCGAAGATAGGCTCTTCGTCAACGAAAGCTTCCTGTAACTATTGAACTTCTTACGGAGGCTCCTCTACTTGTTTCTTTTTAGGAAAGGACTCCATAGCCTGGTTCTTTAGCGGCTCCACAGCCTGCTTTCTTTCTGAAAGCGGCTCCACAACCTGCTTCCTCTCTGAAAGAGGCTCTACAACCTGCTTCCATTCTGAAAATGGCTCCAGAACTTGCTTCCTTAGTGGTTCCACAGCCTGTTTTATTTTTTGAAGCGGCTCCAAAGCCTGCTTGTTCTCTGAAAGTGACTCCACAGCCTGCTTTCTCTCTAAAAGCGGCTTTACAACTTGCTTCCTTGGCAGCTCCATGACTTTCTTTCTTTTTGGAAGCGGCTCCACAGCCTGCTTTTTCTCTGAAACCAGCTCCACAGCCTGCTTTCTCTCTGAAAGCGGCTCCACAGCCTGTTTCCTTGGCAGCTCCATGGCCTGCTTCCTTGGCGTCTCCATGGCCTGCTTTCTTTCTGGAAGCGGCTTTACAGCCTGCTTCGTTGGCGACTCCATGGCCTGCTTCCTTTCTTGGAGCGGCTCTACAACTTGCTTCTTTTTTAAAGGCTGCTCCATGGTCTGCTTCTGTTTTAGAGGCGGTTCCATTGCTTGCTTCCTTAGCGGCTCCATGGCCTGCTTTCTTTCTGGAAGCGGCCCAATAATTTGCTTCTTTTTTGGAGGCGGCTCATGCGACCTTCCCTCCTCCATATGAGCCTCCAACTTTCTTCTTTGAGCTCGCTTCTTTTGGGTCCTAGTGAGTCCACTTATTGCCCTCATAGTGGAAAGCTTCGGCTCATTCACAATCCATTTTTCGTTCTCTTTTATGATAGGGGGCTTTCATGTCACCTTGGGAATGATGGTGATCTGGTCAGCTGTGGTAACAGTCCAAATCCGTTTCCCATTTGTGACTCTCACTTTTGCTACGATGGCCTCCGGCTTGGGTCCTTTGTATACTTTCCTCTTCTCCAATCTTAAGGCTTTCGGACTTGGGATGGTGGTATCGGCATTAGGCTCTTTCTTGGCCGTCTTTTTTCGTGCCTCCTTCATGTTCAAACTTGAGCCTTTACCAAATGTCATTCTTGTAAAGACGGCTTCTTTAGCCGGTGCCTTCGGTCCTAGATAATCTTGAACCAAAGGTTTTGACGGCTGAGTGCTATGCTTGTCTTTCATGAGCCCTTTAGCCGACATGGTATTAGCAAAAGGAATAAAACCTTTGGTCGGTTTCAATTCCAGACACAAATAAGTCTTTTCATTTGCTAATTTTGTGGCCAAAGCTTCTGCCTTCGCAAAGTCCTTTTCGTCTGAAGTCGCTAGGGCTTTTACCTCTGCAGACTCCTTTTCGTATGGAACCTCCATAGCCTCTTGAGTCTCTTCCCCTACGATGTCCTTTTTGTATGGAGTCTTTGCCCTTACATTCTTCTTTTCGTTTGGAGCCTCCATGGTCCCTGGAGTCTCTACCTCTGCAAATTTTGGAGCTTACATGGCTTCTGGAACCTCTGCCTCTGCAGACTTCTTTTCAACGGGAGCCTCCACAACCTCTTGAGTCTCTGCCTCCATAAGCTCTGGAGCTTCCATGGCTTCTGGAACTTCTGCCCCCGCAGACTCCTTTTCATTAGGAGCCTCCATAGTCCCTGGAGCCTCTGCCTCAGTGAATTTTTGAGCTTTCATGGCTTCTGGAACCTCTGCCTTCGCAGACTCCTTTTCGACTGGAGCCTTCACAACATCTGGAGTCTCTGCCTTGGAAAATTTTGGAGCTTCCAAGGCTTCCGAAACCTCTGCTTCCGCAGACTCCTTTTCGAATGGAGCTTCCACAGCTTCTGGAGTCTCTGCCTCCGCAAACTCTGGAGCTTCCATCGCTTTTGGAACCTCTGCCTCCACAGATTCCTTTTCATATGAAGGCGAATTTTCTGTGCTCAAAGTGGCACTAGGCTTCTTTTCAAACCTCTTTTTTGAAAATGCCCTCCTTATACAATCTGCGATGATATCAACGTCCATTAGAGGCTTGGCCTCTCGTTGATTTTGTGTCAGCGGCTGCACTCCGGCTGCCTGCTGATGGAGGGTTGGTAGCTGCATCTCTGCGGCCTGCCCTCCTTGCCCTTGTGTTTCGATGATCTCCTTCTATTGGAGATTAGCCACGTCTGGACCATGACATCCCCATGGCAGTGTTGGCGTATTCCACAGAGGTTGTGCGCTTAATCGCCCTGGCGGGGTCATGCCAAATGTTGAAAATTTGCTTGCCCCTTGTGGAGGCTCAGCATTGCTCTTCAAAACTCCAATGGCCACGGTGTTCCAGCCCTCCGCAGCCTGTTGGCTCCAGCGCTCCGTAGGCTATCGCCAGCCTTCCGCAAACTGGTGGTTCTAGCCTTCCGCAGGCTGGTGGTTCTAGCCCTCCGCAAGCTGTTGCCAGCCTTCCACGGGCTGCTGCTTCCAGCTTCCTGCAGGTTGTTGGTTCCAACCATCCGCAGGCTGTTGGAACCAACCTTCTGCAGACTGGTGGTTCCAACCCTGTTGGTTCCAGCCTGATCTTGCCTACCCCGGCCCTAAGGCCTGAAGCTTTGGATGTTCTGAAACAATTCCGTAGCTTTTTTCAGGCGGTACATATGAACCCCATGTCAACCTCGACATCACTCTTCGAAAAAATCCGACTTTGGTCCCACCAGGCGTGCCAATTGTTGGATCATGCGATTCGGAATTCCAAAATAGCTCGTTGATTTCGTCGGTGTGGGTTCCGGAAGTACTCCAAAGAGCCAATCCGTCGTCGGGCAATGCGATTTCACACGATCACTAAACTAAACTACGATTAACTACGGAAAGCGAGTAAATAAATTGCAGAAAGCATATAATCGGAATTAAATTGCATAAACGAAAATAAAACAAGGAAGAAAAATATGAAAAGATGTGATTTGTTCTATTGTGCGTGTGTGTGTTGTGTTTCATTTTCCTAATTGTAGTCCTAGGCTAGAATAACCACTTTTTCCACTAACAGGGGTGGTTACAAATTATTCCCATTTCTTTCTACTTCTCTTAACCATCAAATAACCTCCTTCCATCAGTTCCTAACGGCTTCCATTGCTCCTGGACCGGGTTCCATTCATCTTGAGTATCTCCCATCGTTCCTGGACCAAGTTCCATTCGCTTTGGATCTCTTCCATTGCCTTCAGATCATACCTGCAGCCTAACTTGATTCGTTTCCATCATACTCCCAGCCGGTCTACGGGAATATGTTCCCGACAGCCTTGAGTTACATGGAACCCTCACTCTTCATGGTCTTCCATTAGTGTCATGAGGTTGCCGATTCAGAGTTTATGGAGCTTGTCGTCCAAAGGTCTATAGAAGTCATATCTTCTTGCTCCATGGAAGCTACGCAGCCTGATGGAAGTCACTATCTTCGACATCTAAGTCATTTTGGACTTGAGGTCCAACAATTGCCCTCCTCAAAAAGAGATGAAATGTAAGCTACGTGAAGCTTTGCTCTCTTTTTGGGACTTCTTTCGTGTGGGACTTACCCTCTTGGGCCTTGGCACAAAATTATCCCAACTTGATATCTCACGTCAACCCCTCTAACCTTGATGTGACGGCTGTTTCCTTTGATTCCCGCATCGTCTAAGAGAGAAAAGACATTCAAGGGTTTTTTCCTAAGGGTTTATCATCACTCCCCCTTTCCACTTCTTCTCTCATTTCTCCTTCGAAGGCTTTTCTCCTGTTTGGTGAACGCAAGTATCAAGTTGTATGGCTTCTTCGACGGTTCTTCTTTCCAGTAGTGTAGTTGAACCTTCGTTGCAGACTGTTGCCGACGTCCAAGTGTCTATTGCTCACGTTGTGAGAGAAGTGGCAGCAGACCATAATGCTTCCGAATCGCCTTCGACTTCAGCAGTCCCCGTCTCCAAGGAAGCAGCATCGATTCCAGAGGGCTCGGCTTTAGCCGGTGTAGCTTCGAGCTCTGGTGGAACAACCTTGTCTTCATAGGGCCTTACCTTTGCAGGTGTGGTTCCAATCGTTGCTGGAGTAGCCCTGGCCCCAGAGATTTCAACTTCAGTGGAAGCAGCGCCAGTTCCTGATGGAACAGCTCCAGCTCTGGACAACCCGATTCCGGCCTCGATAGATCCGATCCCCGATGGAACAGCTCCGTCTCTGGAAGATCCGACCCCAGTCCTAACAGATCCAGCTTCCGTGGATGCAACACCTGATCCTGATAACTTCGAGCCCGATGTGGACCCAGCAGCAAAGGATACTCCTCATACCATGCGTTAACCTTGGGAACCATTCGCCTTTCTTTGATTCACCCACCGTTTCGTTTGAATTTTATGGTTTGCTACTCATTTGGCTATTTACGATGACTTATTTTTGTTTTGTTTCCATTCGCACATTAGCGGCTTAATGGCCTGCTTTCATTTTGCGTACTAGCGGTTTAATAGCCTGCTCTCATTTTGCATACCAGCGGCTTAATGGCGTACCTTCGTTTTGCACATTAGCGGCTTAATAGCCTGCTTTTGTTTTGCTTCATATCTAGCGGCCAAAACAGGGCCTGCTTTTGTTTTGCTTCATATCTAGTGGCCTAAACAGGGCCTGCTTTCGTTTCACTCATTACATCTAGCGGCCTAAATAGGAGACCACTTCCCGAATGTATTATCTTTGAATCCTTCGGGTAGCACTGCCTTCCATACCAAATCTCCTTCTTGGAATGTTCGCCGATGTACCTTTTTGTTGTAAGCTCGCGCTACTTTCACTTTATTTGCCCTGATATTCTCCAAAGCCATCATCTGATCCTCGTGCACGTCATCCAATCTTTGTAACATCGCTGTGTCGTACTGCTCGGGACTAAGCGAATTTTGCTTTAACACTCGTAACGATGGCACCGTGATTTCCAACGGCAATATCCCTTCTTGTCCATAAACCAGTTGGAATGGAGTGCAACCAATGGCTTTATTTCGGTATTGCCTGCAAGCCCATAAGGCGTCCCCTAACACTTCGTGCCATCTTCTCGGGTTATCTTCTACGGCCTTTTTGATTACCCCAATTAAGACTTTGTTGGCTGCTTCGGTCTGCCCATTTGCCTGCGCATAATACGGGGACGAATGCAAAAGAGCGAGCCCATACTGTGCGGCGAAGGCGGCCACTCTATCGCTGGTAAAAACAGTACCTTGATCGGCGGTGATCGTCGGCGGGATTCCATATCGGTGAATATTGTGCTCTTTAACGAACTTGATCACCTCCTGATATGTCACATTAGCCAACGGCACAGCTTCTATCCACTTTGTGAAATAATCCGTGGCCAACAATATGAACGACTGGCGTCTGGAAGATGGCGGGTGGATCTTCCCGATGATATCCACCGCCCATCCCCGGAATGGCCATGGTTTCACCACTGCGTGCATTTCTTCCGCCGGAATTTGGATCGAAGGACCATGTCACTGACATGCTTCACATCTTTGAGCGTACTTAATACAATCCTCCGTCATTGATGGCCAGAAATACCCATATCGTCGGATCGTCCATCTCATGACTGGCCCGGATTTGTGTGCTCCACAAATTCCCTCATGCACCTCACCCATCACCTTCATGGCTTCTTGATTATCTACGCATCTCATTAACATTCCATCGGCGGCTCTGCGGAAAAGATCTCCGTCAGTCAGAGTATACTTCAGAGCCTCTTTCCGCAGCTTTTCCGGAGTTTCATCGGTTGGTTGTTCCAAATATTTCCTCAGTTCCATACGCCAGTCTTCCGCATCCACTTGGTACAGATGTACTCGACCTGATTTGAAGTTTCCTGTGGCTGA